AGTCAGACTCTCCCAAAGGGCTTTAAAAATGTAGACTCCTGGGCTGTCAGGAGAACAGAATCAGAGCCTCGAGTAGGTGCAGGCAGAATTCGAATGGCCAACAGCATCCCTCAAGAGGACTTTTACGCATCTTTCAAGTGAAAAATCACCTACGAAGACAAGAGCTCAAGACATGTCTCTATTTTTCCTTTCCCGACATTTTCTACAGACTGTTTTAGGTCAGAATGGTTATCAAGTGCATCCTCACTAGGTCCAAAAAGGTGTTAAAAGGCAGCGTCCTAACTGCTTAGAAATCGGTATTCGGCTTTGGTTGGGGAAGGAAGGGAAATGGCAAAGGACAGCTGTGACCTAGTTGGTATCTTTTTCCTTTTCTCCCCGCAGAAAGTTAACCCAAAGGGCAGGCATTCTATTTCACCCCATCCTAAGACTGGCTCTGGTCGGAAAAAAAGAAACTCACCAATTTTCATGATGCAAACAGTTGAACATCATGTGTCCAATCATCATACCGCTCATCTATGCATTAGACAAAAAAAAAAAAAAAAGAATCCTAATCTCCTACTTTATAGCAATGATTAAGAGAAAACTGATTCAAAACAATTTGGAAATGGTGATGGGGAGGAAGGAGAGAGAGAGAGAGAGAGAACTGATGATTTAATAAACCTGGACAGATGAAAAGATTATTGCATAAACGCTGTGGGGTAGTAAAGGGAGAGAATAAGGACTCGAGTGCCAGAGTGCTTAGGTTCAAATTAGAGTTAGAATCATTAATTGGGTGACCTTGACCTTATTTAACTTCTTTGTGCCCCAGTGCCCTCATCCCTACAATGAAGACAATAATATCTACCCCATAATGTTGTTGTGCGGACTAAATGAGTTGCTGGACGTGTATGTTTCCAATAGTTAAAAAAGTGAAAGTCTTTTTGTAAATCAAGATGGTCCCAAAAGGTTGCATTGTCTAAACCTTATAGTTTATAAGCCTTAAAGAAGGTATTATGAAATCAGAATAGAAAACCTTTCAAATCTAAATTGAGAAGTTCTAAAAAGTCACATTCCCAATATCTTTCTTTTAATTGGCAGAATTCTTTGATTGCCCTCCCATGCTTTTAAAACCCAGATGGAGGAATTATCAATAATAAAGGGAATGGTAATCTACCTCTCAAATTCTTCTCTTGCATCTCCAAATTCTTGATTATAATTGGTTATGATTTGTAGACCTTGATTTATCATTGTTAATTCACAATTGCATACCCACAATTCAGTGCTTCCATTATCACAGAGAAATGCCAAATTTAAATAAATACTGTTGTCTACCTATACATCCATTGAGTACTAGTTCCAAAAAGATGATTAGTATCTGAATTCCTTTTTAATATCCTTTAGAGAAAAAAAGTACAAAAAAAGTAAAAATTTCTTAAAGACAACCTTTTTCAGATCTATGAAAAGTAACAGTCTCCATTTCAGCAGCCACCTTCACCAATGAGAAGGTGGACTTTTACTGCCAGAACATGAAGGCTAATGTTTATTTACTGCAAGTCTTGGCAAAAAATATTTTCCTGAAGAGAAAGTTTTTAACATGAGATTGATATTTTTTATTGAAACCTCCACTTTACACATCAAAAACCGGATATACATTTTAAAAGCATTATTTAATTGGTTCCTCCAACTCTTTTTTGAGGATCTCTGGTACCAGGTGAATCAAGTTTACAAAAGTCCAAAGGCAATTTTTAGGAAATTATAACTAATGGTATTCCCACAATTCTGACCAAATTATCAGGCTTATGGCATTACGGGATGATAATCCATTTTGTAATAGTCAATGATATTAGCTCCAGAATTCTCAATAACCTAATGCAATATTGTTGTGGTTTAGAATAATTTTAATTTGTATGATGCTATTAAGGTTTAAATTAAAGGAACAAAAACACAGCAACACATTATGAAGTACTGACTGACTGACGTTTGCTAGCAACTGACCAGATGAAGAGTTGGGTATGTCATGGTGCAGGGATGTCTACAGCCCAGTTTCCTTTATCTGAGCCAGGCCCCTTGTGCTTTACACTAGTATTATAATAATTGTTTCCATAGAAGGGGATGTCATTTAATTAGTTTTTTTTTCTTTTTACATTTATGTGCTGTTACTTTATACTTGTAGGTCAGGCTGTCACTGTAATAGATAAAATTATTATGATACATGGAGAATTATTTATTTTGATAGTTATTGAGTGCTTGTTACACTGGAGGGATTATGTTAACCTTTTTAAAAATGATTTTTTTAAGTTGAGCAAAGTTAGGAATTAACATTTATTTATATAAAATTTTATATTTGGAAATCGACATCAAACATGATAACATATCATGAAAAAGAGGCCACACTGGGAAATGGAAAAGGCAACAAATTTTACATGTGTTTGCTATTTGATAATGGCTGACATAAATAGTTTAAAATCATTGTTGGGTTAATTATTTTTAATGGCATAAGAAATAACTGCTCAAAATATCTTCATTTTCTTGTTTCAACAATGAATGGCAATCGATTTTGGTATATGAGACCTAGCGCATCAGCTTCAGATCCGATTAAGTATACCAAGTTTACACAAAGCCAAATGTATGAAAGGGGATCTTTTAAAAAAAACTTTATTTGAGAAAGGAAGAGACTTATAACAGAAGGCAAGAAGGAAACATACAAACAATATATTTACAACACAAAACAAGAGATCACCTTCAAGGGTGTAAATTATAATAAATACAGTAGATTTGAAAAGAGACATTTATCAATTAATTCTAAGATGAATTAAGTCCAGCTTTCTTTTTCACTGGTTCCAGGTAGTTTCTTGATTAAATTCAAAGACTATCAAATTCAAACAATTAATGTCCACCAACTGTACTGATGAAGTGCTCTCAAATGACATTATAAAAAATAGGTTTTTTTTTTGTTTGTGATTACATATCTTTGAAGTAATATTATACAAAAGTCTGCTCAGCCACATGTTCCTCCCCAAATAAAATGTATTTTAAAAGATGCACTATCCCTTTTTTATGAGATTGAAAAAAGATTTTAAAGAAAATGAATATTTATGAGATGGAAAAAATATACAATTTTATCTTAGGAATGCCATATTTTTAATGCAAAACAACTGACAAAGAATCATTTTAATCTTAAGGAATATACTAACCAAAATATGGTGCTAATAGGAAAAGTTGCCTATTATAGGTATTTGTCAAATTATCAGAAGGACTTTCATTATATGGAAAAGTTTTAAACTTTCTAACTTCTAGTTATGTTAATTTAATTTGAATGGAGACTTTTTAAAAAAGGATAATGTATCTTTAGCAGTGACTTCTTTTAAGAAATATTTTTAAATGTCACAGCAAAATGTAAACAACACGTGCCAATAACATACAGTTGTTACAATGTCTACATTTGGCAAAACCGCTATATCTCCTTTGAAACAGGATACTACACCTTAAAATACCTTGGATTTAGAAATATAAATATTTTAATAGAAAAAAACCTCACAAAGATTCTAGGTCAATTTGGATTATCCATATTAAAGGGGTCTTAATACAACGAATCTTTAACTAGCTTAACAAAAGTAAACCTATAAAACAAGGTAAACATATCAAAAGGGAGTATGAAGGAAATGTTCCAGTGAAAAGCTTCCTTAACAATTTCCCTACTTGCGGTGTTATTTTCTTAGACAATAAATCAATTCATAGAGTGCCCTTTAAAAACAGAAAGAGTAAAACACTATCCTCCGTTTTTTTTTTTTTTTCCCCCTACATTCCTCATTACATGAATCACTTGGACTTCCTGTTTCCACAAGGCATTTCCTGTTCAGCCTCATAGAATCAGTTTTCTGTAGGAGAACAGCAGGAACCTGACAAAGAACGGACTTAAATAAACAGAGTCTTCTGTTGCCTTCAAAGTTGTTTGTATTTCATAGCATCAAAGGACACAGTCCTTCTGAAGGTGCATTATATACAAGTAGATTCCGTTGTTAAGCCTAACTTTCCTAAATTTTTATTTGCCAAAGTGGTATGGTATATGCGAGTCACTATGGAATTCTATCTAAGAGATCTTAGTGATATGATTATAAAATATGATACACCTTCTTCTTTTAAACATGATTGTGACTTCGTGTCAAATAATCATCATACCATTACTGTGTTTTCTACAATTGTAGATACAATATAGTATCTGATTGGACCATAATGCTGCACATTATTTCTGGCTATTATCTGCATTGGCTTCATTTGATCTTTTTTGATAGACAATGTCATCAAATAACACAACATAAAAGTAAAATGAGCAGTGCTAGGTGAGACATAATGTAATATTTAAAATAGTGCTGTACTTTGCAATCTATATATTTAAAACCACCTCTATTCCTAATATTTTCAATTGCATTCTATACAATAACCTAAGGACTATTGGCGTGGTAACCAGAACATTTAACTTAACAAAAAAGAGAGAGGAAGGAAGGGGCAGACTACCTTTAACAGTGTTCAAGACTGTAGTATGATACATTATGTACAACACTGTGAAAATTGAATTCTACATATCAAAAAAAAATGAAGAACTAATAGAACGTTTCATTGATCAGACTGGGTGACTATACCCAGCAGTCACTGATCTCAACAGAGAAACTAAAAACAACAGTGATTTCGTTTTCCTTAGAATTAATTGGTGTGGTAGGCTTTGGGATGAATTTAAAGCCTATTAATTACTTGTATACTTATGTAGTATAATTTTAGTGTAACAAGTATTTCCTTACCAGTGGAGTTTCAATGAAACCTTGATATCTATATAGAAATCAGTATATAGAGAAATCTCTATATAGATATATCTGCATTAAGTAGAATCCTTAAACACTAAAATCAAATCGTTCAGAAATATAAACAGATAGGAAATAATATCCATTTACCAAAACCGGCAATGCATTTCATATTCAGATAATGACTTTAATTACAAATCCTGGAGCTAAATCTTTGCCTATTACCTGTTGCATAAAAGCAGCCTGCTCCCCAGATTCCATTTCCTGGATCTGAGCATCTTCATCACTGTCCACTGGTTCCTCCTTGACCTTCACCGCCCCAACTTGTCCCAGTGTGTCATCCACACAAGCACTGCTGTCGCTCCTAGTGCTGTTGCCACTAGAGGGCGCTCTGTCTTCCTGCATCGCCTGGTCCCCCTGAAGCTCTTCCTCCGCTTCCTCGAGGTGACTGCCTGGTTGCTTCAGTTGTTCAATAGATTTCGAAAGCAGCTAGAAGAGAGTGTTCAGGGGTTCAAAATTCAATAGTTCTTGGTGGTAACAGAGAAGCAAAACACACTTTCATTTCTAATGACTCTACTTCAGAACGTTCTGGTTTCTAGTTTCTGGACGCCAACGGCGGAATGACTATGAATGCGACAAACTTCCTCAGTGATCCTACATCTGAAGCAGTCCCATCCCTGCCAGATTGTGTTGGTGTGGTAGGCAGAGGACGAGGTCTCTTGAGTGCTTTCTTTCATGGGTTAGCCTTTCACACACTTAGAAAATGGTGGGGGAAAGGTAAACAAGCGTTTTCAGTGGGAACTATGAAACTTTGATAAGTACAGTTCATACTGAGACAATTTAATCCAAATAAACCTAAGAATATTCTTTTTCAAAAGAGAAAATGTGATGGAATTAATGGAAAGGTAATGAAAAACTTCCACAATCTCATTTTTTGGACAGATGTCAGCCACTATAAAATATGAGCACAAATGCCAAAGCCTTATCTATCTAGTTTTCCCATCCCTGAATGGTCAAATGATAAAACACCTTCTTATATATACTGGTAAAACATGGAAATATTGATTTGGAAATCCTAAACTTTAAAAAGATGTGGGATTTTGGGGCGCCTGGGTGGCTCAGTGGATTAAGCCTCTCTGTCTTCGGCTCAGGTCATGATCTCTGGGTCCTGGGATTGAGCCTGGCATCGGGCTCTCTGCTCAGCGGGGAGCCTGCTTCTCTCTCTCTCTCTCTCTGCCTGCCTCTCTGCCTACTCGTAATCTTTCTCTGTCAAATAAATAAATAAAATCTTTAAAAAAAGAGATGTGGGATTTTAAAAAAATTGTCATAGCACTAAAAATGTTTTATGAATATATCCAAATTAAATAATAGGAAAGAAGGAATTATTTTTAATCTGAAAATTATTTAGACCTTTTCTTTATTTTATAAATTAAATTGTACTTTATCTTCAGAAGTGTATGAATTAACTGCTCAATAATTAAAAAAACAACAAAACGAGAACAGACCCTAACTTAAACAACAGCAAAATATCACAGTATAAAAGCTCAATAAATGGGGTAAAATTCTCAAGATGATTTCATGTCACAGTAGGTTTCTTGTTTCGATTCACAATGACCACTGATGGTCTGCAGATCTCAGATCTTGAACTGTGGTTTCAAGAGTGATTGGAGTTTTCTGTTAATTCAGTGCCCATGTGAGCAACATGCCAAATATTGTTAATGAGCAGCACACTTGGAATACAACCGCTAAAATCATGAATACCTATTTCTCTTGGTATAGCTTAAGCTTACTGCCCGCCCTCCACACCTATGTTTTTAAGACTGAACACATGCTTAGAGTTAGAATACCAAAGTACTCCGACTCTGAAGGCTGTCTTACCCTCTTTAGGCTAATAGACTTTCCTCCAGGTCACATAACCTCAAATGGCTGTGCATATACCGATGAAACCCTTCATTTTCACTGTCTGTAAAATTATTGGGGGGCTTTCCTTCATTTGTGCAACAAATATTTATTGAATGCCAACTAGGTTCAAGGCACCATGCTCAGCTTTGGGAAAACAGCCATCACCTAGCCCTCGTAAAGCTTATAGTTTAGTGTGTTAGAAAGGAACCAAAAGATAAATTTATTCATATTTTCAAGTATGGTAAATGAAATGGGAAGAAGCCCAGGGTATTACAAGAGCACACACAAGCTGCCACAGGAGCGGAACTGTGGGTGGTTAAAGGAGCTTTCACTGAGAAGGTGCTATGTTTAGGCTGAGACATGAAAGAGGAAGGATAGACAAGGAGGAGTCATTAGTTACATGCGTGTGAGGGGTTGATATAAGGGTAGAGAGCATTTCTGGCTGAAGGTACAGTACATGCGCTGGAAAAGGGGTCCAGTGCATTGGAGGAAATGAAAGGCCAATGGGGTTTGAGCACAGGAAGGTGGGGAGAATGCTGGAAGATGCTGCTGAAGAGAGTGACACAGTTTATAATATGTTTGGGTTGAGAATAAGACTCTAGAGAAATAAAATACAATTTTAGATAAAGTCACACATAAAATGTAAACATCACCAATCTTAAGTTAGACATAATCAAGCTAAGAGAACATATACCAATCAAAATTTATGTCAAATTGAAGAAGGCAATTTAAATATTAATTTCCTCTGTGCTTACAATCCTAACATCTGTTGTTCTGGGGCTGTCGGCATAAGAACAATCATCCCATTGTGCTTTAAATGTCTCTAAGTACTTTTTAAGGAAACTATTTGCAGGACTTTTGTATCCATGCTAATTAGTCTTCAAAACATAAATACATAATACCCTGCACATTGCTGTGATTTTGGGGTAAGAGACAATGTAATATTCCTGAACTTCGACTCTACAACTGAAGGATCCCATGTAATTGGGGAAAAGAGCATGTGACACCATAGGAAAGAGGCAGAATTTTAATAGAAAAGTCCCAGTCTGAGCTGAGACACCAGGGATAGGGACTTTGGGTGACAAGTATTCACCCATTGTTCAGAGAGAGAGCTCATCAGTCAACCCTTACCTCTATGGCTCACCTCAGATGTGACATACAAGAGTACAACAGAGATTCTTGTGGGGAGAAAGACTGACCTAAGGAAAGGTATTAGACAGGTGAAGGAGGCTGCAAGAGCCCCTTGGAGGGACAATCTGCAAGCAGACGGCTGCAGTTCATCTTCTGGGTGGATGCTTGGTGGGCTATAGAACATTTCCCTCTCGCTACCAAAGCTTAGCTAGGAAAATTCATGGGAGCTAGCGCATCAGAGCTGGCAGACCAAGGACACGTATGAGTCAGGCAGATACCTCTGGGAGGCATTCAGAAGTTCCTGCACGTAAGAGTCTCTGTGGGGAAGAGAGAAGAAAACCATATGGGATGTGTGGCCGTGAGACAGGAACTGAGGGGGCCATTCATGAAAAGTCCATGAGGGAGCACGTGAGCACTGTTCTGGAAACGTCCCATCAAAAGTCCCTAATTACTGAGGAATGACTCTGCAACTTCCATGTTTGACTACAGGGACTATTCAGTTACCAAGAGGGAACTGCAGATACCGCCTGCTAAGTAAAAGGAAAGTCTATTGCTATTTCCTTCTCAGTCCCAGTCCCAACATGGCCCCTCACTAGCTTGACTTCCTCACATCTGATAGTCTTTTTCTCTGCTCTACCTCAGTGCCCAAAGCTGTGATCATACCCTAGCCCTGGTCTTCATTGGTAGCTGTACACTTTCTTAAATCAGTTTCAAACATGATGTTTTTTTGACTCCTTCTCAGAATATTCTGACCCCAACCAGTCCTAACGCATTCTTGCTGCCACCAATTCCCCACACCCCCCACATCCTTCCTTGCTAGACTAGGCTCCATTCTCCATTATTAAAAATTACTCCCTTGTGGCGCCTGGGTGGCTCAGTCGGTTAAGCATCTGACTCTTGATTTCAGCTCAGATCATGATCTCAGGGTCTTGGGATTCTGTCCCACGTCGGGCTCCACCCTTAGGGGGAGTCTGCTTAAGACACCCTGCTCTCTCTCCCTCTCTCTCTCCTCCTTCTCTCTCTCTCAAATAAGTAAAGAAATCTTTTTTTTTTTTTTTTAATCACTCCTTTACATTGTCTTCAACTCCCCTGCCCTTTTGAATACGGGTTTTACTGGAAAAGTAAGACTTCCAACCTCAGTTAATACTACAGCTCTGCCAAACCCAAGCAACTGAATAAGCTGGGAAACAAACAAACGAATTACCATCATGCTGAATGTTTCTCTTTAGATTCATGAGCAAAACCCTCAAAAGGGCCCTCAGCGCTGCCTGGCAATCCTACCACATTTCTCTAGTTAATTCACTCCCACTCTTTCAATGACGATTTCAGACTACCTCCTCTCTCCTCAGACCTCTAAAATCCAGACCTCTTCCTTTTTTTTTTTTTTTTAAAGACTTTATTTATTTATTTGACAGATGATGGAGATCACAGAGAAGCAGGCAGAGAGAGAGAGGAGGAAGCAGGCTCCCTGCTGAGCAGAGAGCCTGATGCGGGGCTCCATCCCAGGACTCTGGGATCACGACCTGAGCCAAAGGCAGAGCCACCCAGGCGCCCCCAGACCTCTTCTTCACTATCTGCTGTTACCTGTGCTTATTATTTCACTGAGAAGCAGAAGCCTCTGAAGAGAAACTCAACATCCTGCTACCATGGCATTTCCCAAGCGGCCCGTTCACCCTTCCTCCCATTCTTCTGAAAGCAGTGTCTGCACTCTTATCTCAGGCAATCCCTCAGCTTACGGTCTGGATCCTGTCCACTCCTGCAATGATCCACTCTGTTCTCCAACACACATTTCCCCTCTCTGCTTGAATATTCTTATTTGCGCATTTTCAAAGTGATTTTAAATAAAACCTCCTTTGCTCCCCCCACCAAGGTGGGGGGAGCAAGGGAGTATGTACCTCCATTATGTACCACCATTATGTACCTCCCTTCACAGCAAAACGCCTTGAGTTATCTCTCTTTACTGACTTCATTTCTCTTTTCCTATTCTCTTTAGAATTCATGCCAACAAGGCTTTCATCTGCACTATTTGACCGAAAACTCTCCTGTTGAAAGTCAGTAATGACCGCATTCACGCCAAATCCAGTGGCAATTTAATTGGGATGTTAATAAGTGTCAGTGAGGGTAAAGCACTTCACAAAGGGCACTAAGACACAATCACAGAATCTTTGAAGGTAAGAGGCTGGTATTACTACAACTAAAGACCAAACTGTGTGCTAACTCCTGGATTGTAACTTCCTGCAGATACCAAGTAGGTTAAAGAAAATCTCAAATAGTGACCAAAGGCTTAGTGTTCACAGAATATATCATACGTACATTTTAACAAAAAACCTTCTGAATTCTGACCTGTTAATGTATTTCTGAGGTCACAGATGTACCCAGAAACCTTATCGTTTAGTCCATGAATCAATTTTGGTCAGTATTTACAACCTCATGGACACAGATGCGTATATAACAAT